GTTTTTTTTTGGGTGCAAAATATTTTAAGAACAAGAAAAAACTAACCCCTATCCTTTTTTTTTTTTTTTTTTTTTTTACAAACTCTCCATCATCACATTGCTGTCAGGAGCGCAATCACACATAGACGCACACACACATGAAACACACACACCCACAGCAGCTGTCGACAATGGATTTAGATCCTCTGCTTTCCCACCCGCACTCACAAATTCCCCTTTATGCTCAAGCTCTGCACCTGACTGGGAGTTTGGGATCACCTTACGGATTTGCTCCGCTGTACGAATTCCACAGGCACACTCATTTGCGCACTTTCTCACACTGTGGGATCACATGTACACTATATGCATGACCACCAACCAAACACCCACTCCCACGCATAAGATCATGTGCGTGTTTCCTTTGGTCGCTTCCTGCTCGTCTCTGGGATTTCACTGGAGTCGGCGCTACTTCTCACATGTTTAACAGCTCAAAGGCGTAATCCTCCGGACAAGGAGAACGTGCTCATTCCTGTGTTTTCACTCAGACGTAACTGAATACTGACGTCCCAATGCATGCATACCCTAATTGTGAATAAATCTTCAGGATGTGGCATAATACGAATGGACCGAGATCTTGGGTGTGCTGCACAGATCAGCTGTCGTGCTGCTGCACGGTGCAGGGAAGAACGGCAACCATGACTGGCATCTGCAGGCCGAGTCAGAGGGAGGCTAATCTTAGACCGTTTTATATCCCCGACCTCCATATATTTAACTCATTCTGTCCATTAACATCCCTCCCCCCCACTCTGACACGTTTACACCCACATTCCAGTAGTCCCCGTCACCCTCACAGGTTCCTTATGGTGTTTATATATTTCCATATTTAACACCTGGCTTTTATTACTTCCTCACTGTAAAACATGTTCCGAGTATCTACTCAGTCTCAAAGTCAATAGCAGCTGATTTCCAGTTGTGTTTGTAATTATTGAACTTAGTAAAACGTCTTATGCTTTATGAAAATGAGCACATTTAAGCTTCGAGGATCACCGTTTTACTTTGAGAATATGGATGAGTTACTGGTTAAAAATAACTGAGTTAATGAAACATTTACACTCCTTTGTGACAGGTAGTCGGGGGAGTTTATGATCGGAGATTAATTACTTATTAGGATGATGGGAATACAATCAATTTTACATCAATATTTTCGTCATAACAGGTCAACGGCTTGGTAAAGCCTAAAAATCATGTAAATGACTCATCCTAGAACCAAAGTACAATGGGCTCCAGGCACAACATAAAACATCCCAATGCAACCAATCAAGTCAAGTTTGTTGCCAATCTTTGTACTTAAGACTTTTACATACCAGCAAAGCTTCATCCACCTCGCGTCTCTTAATTTTTTGCAATAAATCGCGGAAAGTTCAACTAAACTTTCCTTAAATTGTTAAAATCTTCAAACTGGTGGACTGTCCTGCAGTTTAGAGCAAAGTTTTTTTTAAGCAAATGTAATGTAGAAAAGTGACTTAATGTGAGTTTTTTTTTTTTTTTGGTGCATGTAAGTTTTTGCCACAAATGGAAAATAGTAATAATTTTAAAGAGAGACATAATTATTGACACGCATAAAGAAGTGAAATT